CTTTTGTTAAAAACAAAGACACATGAAGAGAGATTGTACTAAATACCACGCTTGGCTTGTAAAGTAATGTATGCCTCTCACTTTGGTTTGTTTAATTTAGTGTCAATACATGGAAACACTTAGTAGATAAATTTCGGTGTCACTATTCAAATAAGCATGTCTATGCGGGATTGCCTGAACAACTTAAAGCTAATTGATAATGAAAGTTTCAGTTAAAGTTGACACTATTGGGACTTTTAGGTTATTACTAAGGACTGATTATCATTTGAATATGAAAGAGATATTTGCGATACCGTCTTTTAGACATAATTTAATTTTTATTTTTACATTGGACAAATTTAGTTACTCTTGTTCAATTGAAAATAGTTAGTTTGATCTTTTTCTTAATTCAAATATTGTGGTACCAATTTTTATCTGATTATGATAACCTATATTTGCTTAATATGATTGCATCTTATAAAGAAACCTTGAATGTGATTTTAAGTAGTATTAAACATAAATTAACCAATAAGAATTATACTTCATTATGACACAAGTGATCATGTCACATCTCTCAAAAGAGAAATGAATAGGTTGTGTCAAAAGGAATTCTCGATCCCCTTAATTTTGCGGACTTTAATGTTTGTGTTAATTACATTAATGGAAACAAATAAATATAAGGAGATAAGTGCCACTAGAATTTCGAATGTCTTAGAACTAATTCATACGAATATTTGTATGTAATTCTCTTTGGCTTTTTAGAATAGTCAAGAGTCATTTATTACATTTATATACGATTTTTCTCATTATGGCTACATATATCTCATTCATAAGGATTCTCAATCACTGGACAAGTTCAAGACTTATAAAACTAATGTTGAAAATCAACTTAATAAAAGAATTAAACAAGTCAGATCTTACCATAGTGGTCAATGATGCGACATATATGATGGATCGAGGCAATAACGTCCCGGGCATTTTACTAAATTCTTAGAGGAATGTTGCAATTTTGTAAATTTTTAGAAAAGTTGATTAAATATGTTGTTGAAAAGTTGTGAAACATATAAAATATATGATTAAAATTAATTATTGACTTTAAGTTAAATTTTAATCAAACTTTTTAATTGGACAAAACAGAGACTAAGCCCTTGTTTGGTGAGGATTAAAATCAAAATTTTAGTAGATTTTGATATAAGTTGATGAATTGTGAGGTTGAAAAATTGTTGGATCCGTAAAATATATTATTAAAATAAATTGTTGATTTTGATTTAAATTGGTACCAAACATGGGCTAAATCTTTCAATCACGTATATTGTTGATTAACCAAGCTTAGTTTACCAGCTGTCGGTGGCAAATACCTTGACCAGTCCCCTCAAATTAATTATTGACTTTAAGTTAAATTTTAATCAAACTTTTTAATTGGACAAAACAGAGACTAAGCCCTTGTTTGGTGAGGATTAAAATCAAAATTTTAGTAGATTTTGATATAAGTTGATGAAATGTGAGGTTGAAAAATTGTTGGATCCGTAAAATATATTATTAAAATAAATTGTTGATTTTGATTTAAATTGGTACCAAACATGGGCTAAATCTTTCAATCACGTATATTGTTGATTAACCAAGCTTGGTTTACCAGCTGTCGGTGGCAAATACCTTGACCAGTCCCCTCGCAATAGGGGGGGCGGAGGCACATTTTTTTTTTTTTTGAAATTTTTTGTTTATGGCCAGCCATCATGTGAGAGTTTTTCAGCTTTTTTGTCAAATAATTTTGTACAATTAGGATTATTCATTGTTGATGAGCATCATTGTTCCCATTAGTCCGAGTTAGTTATGTTTCTTTTGAAAAAAGAGAAGAAAACATTGTTTTGGGTTCAATTTTATTTCAACGGTCAAACTCATTAACTTATAGATTACGTTTTATGATGGAACGCACATAAATTTAATTAATTAAATATAATTGATATTCTACTAATTTAATCAACAATATACATTTCATCAATAAACTAAAGTTACATTATATTAATTAAAAACTAAATTCATTGTATCTACCTAAATAAAAGTAATCACTATTAAATATTGTTATAATATTAACTGAATCAAATGATTGAAGGTATTAAGTTAAAAAAATGCTATTCAAATAAATAAAAACTCCATTTATGCTTTCTACCACATTCATTCGTGCTTGGTGCATATTATGATGTACACTATTTTTTACACTTTATCACGTAGCACTATACCATTGGACAATTAAAGAAAAACAATTTTTCATCCATTCATTCGTGGACAAAAATAGTAATATTGTTAACCAATGTGTAAAAAAAAAAAAAAAAAGGTGTAAATTTACATATTTCATCTCTTCATTGGAGAGGTTTTCGACCAGTTTAGAGACCTAAATCACAATTTATATCTATTTTACATCAAGATTAGAGATACTCTAAATGACCATTTTATGCCACATCTTACCTAACGAGACAACTCACCAGTCGTTCATTAAACACGAAGGTCAAAAGAAGAATGCCAAGTAACAAACAAATATGGATGTCTTTTGTGCTGAACCAAGTTTCAAACTAATATACCTAGATCAGATACTAAACACAAGGTATGGTGAAGCCTTGTCCCATACTGTCGGCCTGTAACTTATTCTCACTCTTGGAAGAACATTTTCAAACTTTTACAACATTTGGAAGAATATTATATGAGTTGATTCCATAGAATGCATCGCCCTCAAGAGCCGCATGTAACAGACAAACTTAATAAGCAAATAAACTAAAGAGATAAACGGACGAAGAATCCAAGAAATTCTAGTCTTTCTACAATGAGCCCCTGGCTAAAGTCTTCCCTCGGGTTAGATTTCCTCAAAACTACCAAACTGCCTTGACGGCATTCTTGACACGAGAATTGCTTTGTCAAAAAATTTCTATTCAAGACCACTGCAGTTTGAGGTGCACAATCGCAGGCAGGTGATAAGAGAGGTTGGTAAGACTTAAATTGTGTCCAACTTCCTAGCCACGCACAAGCAAGGCACTAAAAGCTCGATAAACTCATGACTACCTCATAAGGNTTAGGTCATTCAACTATTCCGGATATTTCAATTAGATCATGTACTATAATAAGTGTCAATTAAAATTACTAAACTACGATTCACTTCCAATATTAGTCACTCCATTAGCTCTCCTCACTAAATTAATATGCACTAACGTTAAAATTTGACAAAAAAAAAAAAAAAAAATTGAGATTTTGTAAGTTTCCAAGTATTACTCTTTAATCAATTCTTGAAGATAAAGATTAAAAAACAAATAATTGGTCGTCCCATCATATTCAAGCAACATATATTTTCAAAAATTGCATTTTTGATTTGATTTGATTAGATGACATATTTAACTAGAAATGTAAGATACATTTGACAATCATCAATTTATATTGCCTACATAGATGATCCAAAAAATATCTTTATCGTACATTTTGTAGAATTTGTTATATCTATATATTACGTGACGATGGAGGGGATCCTACATATGTCGACTTGACATCGATTATTTAATTGAATTAAACTTGTTAAATCAAGCAACCCCACCTTAGACTTGAGCTCAATCCATTAGTTCTACTTGTGACATAATTCCAATTTCCCACTTAACCGTACTTCCCTTTCCTCAATACTCAAACCCCTGTGTTTCTACGAATCCCCGACGATTCCAAGTTCCAATCACCATATTTTAGAAGAAGAAGAACAACAACAACAAATTGAAGAAGCAAAAATTTGTAATCCATCTCTCTCNAAATTGAAGAAGCAAAAATTTGTAATCCATCTCTCTCTCTTAATCTTATTGTTTATGTTTTGATAATTTCATCACATCCTAAAATCAAATCATAGAAATATCAAACCTGGAAATTTTCTCTACAAAATCTCGTTGTATTTCTTTATGCCTATTATAGTAGTTGAATAATAATGAAATGGAGGCTTAAATGTTCCGACTTGTGAGGAGAAGATTTTGCGCTATGGCTACAAATTTTTGGTTAGTTAATGCTTAATGAGTTGGAAATTTTGAATTTTGAGATTATTTGATCGAACTAAATGTAATTAGGTACTTCGGGATGATAGATGTGCTTCAGAATTCTATTTGTACTCAATTTATCATAATTAGTGAAGTTTCAACAACGAACTAGAAATTGAAGAATTATTGCGCTATATAAAACTTTTTGCTTCATATAAGGAGATTTTATTTCATTAAATATGGGTAGTTATTTCATTTATTAAGTGGAGTTGTTGAATTGATTAGGTAAGTGGAATGGTTTGGAATGGAGGGAATTCTTATGATGAGATCTCTTCTATTGAATTAGTCCATATGTGGAAGTTGAGCGAGTTGGTCTAATTTGAATATTATCGTTACTATTTAATTGGAAATTATTTTTTACGTAATTCTATTTTGTTCTAGTTGAACCATAATCTCGGGTCCACCTCTGCACTTAAGGTAATGGTTTCTAACGATAGTCAATCCCCTCTTCCGTCTCTTGCACACACACTCTCTCTCTTCGATCGTTGACTTCATCATCAGAGTGTAAATAGTCATCGAACCTATTTCTCGATCGGTGACATTGACATCTTAATGATGTGCTACATCATCCACGTTATGATTACATGGAGAGAAGGTTGAGATTCTGTTGGCGGCTCGAGCTTGTCGCATTTTAAGGTCAACATGATTCATAATTTTTACTTACATTATCCACTTATTATTTATACTTTTAAGATTCATATCTATAATCTAATATAAGCTTTAACAAACATGCTTTTACTAACACTATGTGATCAATATTGAAAGTCCGATATAAGATAAATTAAAGTTGAGTGATCCAATCGAGATTTGATTGAACTTTCAAGGACCAAAAACGAAATTAAACCGAAATATTATATTTGTTATGATAAAACACAAAACAATTAGTTATACTCACACTGATTCATTCTTCAGAGTTCAGATAGAGAAAAATACTCCCCGGACGGCCGGCAGCATTTGACAGAAATTGTGATGAATAATCTGCCGGAGAAAGACAGAGATCGGAAAATGTTGGTCGGTATTGTATGGAACTGTGCGGCTGAGGCCAAGCTCCTCCTCACTGCACTCCTCTTCTTATGCTCTCTCGCCACCGTCTTCCTGTTTCTCTCCTCACGCTTCTCCGTCTTCCCCTCCGACCTTCGCCACTACCTTGCCGGTACTCCCACTGGTAATATCACAACATCTTCATCGGTGCTACCAGATCTACCATCCGTTGTTCAACTTCTGCAGCAACAGCAAAAACAAGAAGACCAGTTGTTGGAAAATGGTATCATCAAGCGGGCTTTCAATTCCTATGGCTCAGTTGCGTACAATTTCGTTCTGATGTCGGCTTACAGAGGTGGCGCCAACACTTTCGCGGCCGTTGGGTTATCTTCAAAGCCTCTACACGTCTTCGGCAAGCCGAGCTACCAATGCCAGTGGATCCCACACGAGGATACTGATTCCACTGTCACCACCGCTGGCCAGAAGATCCTTCCTGACTGGGGCTTCGGCCGCGTCTACACAATCGTCATTGTGAACTGCACTTTCCCGACCCCAACTGGCGGTAAGGGTGGCAAGCTGCTCATCCACGCAACCACCAACGGCGGAGGTGACACTAGCTTCAACATTACCGACTCTATTGTGGTCCTAAAAGAAACCCCCGAAGAAATTGCGAGTTTCACCTTGCAATGCAACTCACAGCCTAAGTACGATTATCTGTATTGTGGGTCGTCTCTGTACGGAACTTGAGTCCTCAGAGAGTACGAGAGTGGCTAGCTTATCACGTTAGATTACTCGGAAGCAAGTCCCATTTTGTTATACACAACGCCGGTGGCTTACACGAGGGAGTAATGGAAGTGCTAAAGCCATGGATGGAGAAAGGGTTCGTGACATTGCATGATATCATGGAGCAGGAGAGGTTTGATGCTATCACAATCGGTTCCTCATAGTAAATGATTGCTTGCATAGGTACAGATTTGCAGCCAAATGGATGCTGTTCTTTGATTTGGATGAATTCATTTTCATGCCTAAGAAGAGCACCATTCAGTCGGTATTCGATTCGCTCTCTGATTTTACGCAATTCAACATTGAGCAAATGCCCATGTCCAACAAGCTCTGCCTCTCCCAGGATGCCCGTTCAGCTTTCAGGTAATCCCAATATCCTTCATCACTCGTAAAAACCCCATTTTCTCGATGCACAGATTATGCGTTCATAAATCGAATAATTGATCCAGAATCACTGCCAAATGGTTGTAGGTTTCAGTTTCCGCATAGTTTCTGAAGTTAACTAGGGAATGATTGATAGGGTTCTTGTTCATAAAGAATTTTGAAGACTGAATAATTTCAGTGAGGGCAATTGGTATTCAGTGAGTACATAAGTGCAAAGAACATATACATCAATGTTCTTGATACTGGTATCGAATTCTTACAACATTAACTTAATTAATTAGAACAGCTTATTGTATTTACATGTTTAATTGGGTAATTTGCATTTCCGATAACTGGTTAAATTAGCATTCACACAAGGTACATTAATTTATCTCGGATAAGATGTGTTTTTGTTGCTTCAAGTTATCATGTGGCCTATATATGCCAATTCCGACCTCTCTTGCTTTGATTTGTCCTTTCCTCATTTCGTTTCACACGGTCTGGCCAAGTGGAATTTAGTTGGGGTTAGAACAAGTCTTGCATTTATGATTCATACCATGTTCCTTAAATTGCTCAAGTGATTGTCATACATTTAAGAAATATTGTGTGTGTGGAATTAGAATTTTATTTTGGTTTCTAGTTATTGTAATGGTGCTTATAACCAATGTTTTGGGTGAGAAAATTTTTGATCGAAGATATCTAAGTGCAAATGAGAGGACCAAACCTAATCATTCAGTTCTGCCTCTAAGTTAATTTTAGAAGATGATTAGTTTGTAATATCAACTGTGACCTTCAATGTTGAGGTCACGAGTATTATATAGTGAAGGGGGAAATTTTCAAGGAAGATTCTAGAATTTTACAGCTGTGAATTGGTTCCTAAAATAGTGGATCATGTCAAGAATATTTACAACAAATAGTGAACAACCACAGGCACTACAAACTGATTCAACGGCAAGGCT